TCATCTTTTCACTGTAATCGAAGGAGAATGCCTCGGAAACAGCGTAAGCGTGAATCTTCCAGTAAAGCCAATCGACAGCTGATCAAGAGGAATCCGCCGTCGTCTTCTGGTGGAACCGACTTTCGAATCTCTTCACCCAACACTTCCACTCGAAATGGAAGTAAGCTCAACAAGGTAAAACTAGCAGAGACCTATGATCTTTGAATGCTCCCATAGTTGATGAGAGGAGAAGATTTGACTAGTACTGCTCATGATGTGGGAACCCTGGTGTTCATCGATAGAGCGAAGAATATGTCGGATGCCACGATATCCAAGTGACTGAGTCAATGCGCCACTGTTCACCTTAACGACAAGGACAGAATCGAAGTTGAATAAAACAAGGACTACTTTCACAAGTTTGGCTGTTGTTGTCAACAGGATGAGCCGGCTGATAAAACTTAACTTGCCTGACTTATGTCAAGACTGATAGCTATTTTATAATGATCTCAAGTCGGCTCTGAACAAACCAGAATAAACCAGAAGTTTAGATCTTTTAGCTTTAGGACAATCCTTTTTGTGATCTTCCTTTTTTACCTTATGATAGGCGCAAAGATTGTTTGCAATAGGTAGGACTGTAGATTATGCAAACACGTGTTTGTTACCGTATTAATTGGCAAAATTTTTATTTTGTTTTTATTGTTATTTATCACAATATATTAGTATATTATTTTTTCCCATTCACTGTTTTTATTTCCGATATCTAAGTTAATTGATTAGATTTTTTAATTTCTATTTATTTTATGAAGGATTTGATTTACATATAAGCTTGCTTTATCAACAATTGCGTAATAAATAAGTGTGATATGGCAGAGACCTAATTCGTCTTGAAAGTCACATCTGGTCTATGACCCAATGGCATCCGTGACAGTGTTTTTCTGATTGTTGAGCTTATTTCCTTTTCGAGTGAAAGCGTTTTCTGAAGAGATTCGAATGTCGATTCCACCAGGAGACGACGGCGGATTCTTCTTAATCAGCTTTTGATTAACTTTACTGAAACATTCATGCTGACGCTGTTTCTGAGGTAATCTCCTTCGATTCCGGTGAAAAGATGCTAAGCTTTCATCCGTTAAATGACGAACATCATCACAACAAGGCATCATCATCACAACCAAATTCAAGCTAAAGAGTCAAGAAAACTAGTTAGCTTGAATTTGGTTGTGACGATGATACTTTGCTCTGATCATGTTCGTCATGTGACGGATGAAAGCTTAGCATCTTTTCACCGGAATCGAAGGATATTACCTCGGAAACAGCATTAGCATGAATGCTTCAATAAAGCCACTCGACAGCTGGTCTAGAGGAATCAGCCGTCGTCTTCTGGTGGAATCGACCTTCGAATCTCTTCACCAAACATTTTCACTCGAAATGAAAGTAATCTCGACAAATTATAAAAGAAGATGTTCCTCGAAATCCAACTTTTCCTTGCAGTGTTTTTCTACCTGAGTTCGATTCCCATTTGGGGCATTCCAGAAGCCCAAGAAAGGTTGGAACAACAGTTTATCCTGGATGAAAATAACTCTAAAGCTTCTTAGAATTCTAGATTTTAGGTCAATAATTACATCATAGATTTTTCCCCTTATTTGAGAGTTTTAACATATTTTAATAATGTGAAAATTAAAGTCAATTTCTGCCTTTAAAAGTAAATAAAGTTCTGCTCTTGTTATAAATTTGTACTATTAAGGGGAAAAGACCCTATCTTAAACCGTGGTTTGGCGACACTTTACTGGCTATTGACATTGTTTCCCATATTATAATCGCTGTAATTGAATTAATTAGTTTCTAATTTTATTGGACCGGGCTAGGATAATTTTCTATATTATGATGGAAAACTATTATGAAGACGCCCGAAGAATGAAATTGTCATTAGTTTCTATGAGAGATAAGGGATTCTC